CCGGAGAAGCAGGAGATCCAATTGTTGAATGTCATATCATGACAGGCGCCTAGCAACCATATATATTTAAAAGGCTGGTGTGTGTTTTATGTGTATCTTTGTGCCAGGAATAGCTGGAACAGATCTAGTCTTCCATTCACAATCTAGAAAAAGGGGGGGGAAAGGCGAAGGGAAAATATCCATCCGCGGACCTATTTTGAAGGGCCGTCGATTGCCTATCAGGTGCCACAGGTAGAGAATTAACACTATATTTTGTTTTGCCAAAAAGTATTTCTTGCAAATAAAAAAATAAAGTATTCAACATTCTGTTTCTTAGACTGCAAAGCTGGACGACAGATCAGTCACAATCATACCCTTCCTATGTGGCCAAATTGGAACCAAGCAATGATAACTGACAGGACACACGCTGTAGTAGACCACACAACTATTAAATGGTCAGGAGTATTTAGGGGAAAGGAAATTGCCAGTGACATCCACAGTCCTCCTCAAGAATCCAAAAAATCACAGATGCATATGATAAGATAACAGATTAACAGAGTTGGAAGGGGTCTTATAGGTCATCTAGTCTAACCCCCGCTCAAGCAGGAGATCCTATACCAGTAATGGTGAACCTTTTGGGCACCGGGTGCCCAAACTGGAACATGCATCCCTGTGTGAGAATGTGCACGTGCTGAACGTCAGAAACCTGAAAACAAGCTGGCTGGTGGGCACATGCCTGTTTTGGGGGAGTTTTTCAGGTGGGGGACATTTTGGGGCTGTTTTTCAGGCTGTTTTTTGGGCTATTTGGGGGGCATTTTCAGGCCATTTTTCAGCCTGAAAACAACCCCAAAATGGCTCAAAAACAGTCCCAAAATGGGTCAAAATACAGCCTGTTTTTTAAACCAGAAGAGCAGCTGGTGATGGTGCATGTGCCCACAGAGAGAGCTCTGTGTGCCACCTCTGGCACACATGCCATAGATTCACCATCACAGCCCTACACCATTTCTGACATTATCTGTTTAAGGTCCTACTAACTGACCAGAAAAAAATTAGAAAGAAGCTGGGCTTCTTTAGAGTTGTTTCATCAGATGTGAAGCAGAGAATATAAAAAGAGTCATACTAAAAACATAAGGATTTCCCAGAAGGGTCGAGCTGTTTCTCTTCCCAAACCACATAATTCTCCTTACAATGTGTCTTTTTCGATCCCACATGTTCCAGGACCGAACAGCAAACTCAATGGACATTGAGTCCTCTGTCCCTTCTCACCTCACTCCACCCCACCTACAGAAAAGCATAAGAGGAATTGCACTCCTTATCCACAGTGCTGCACCCAGGTTCCCCCTTAACAGGCAGTCACGAACAAAAGGTTCATTTCAACACACACACACCAACAGTGATCTCACACGTGCACCTGCTCTCCAAGTAAAATAATGCCAGAATTCAGTTCGAATTAGGGGAGTATAGTCAATACATAAGGAACACAATCAGCAAAACCAACAGAAACCTAGCAACTGAGTATCTTAGGAAACAAGTTATATTTTCTTTTTCAAGGGTCATCATCCCAGCTAAATCTTACTTGGAAAACAAGAAACATACTGTAGCCCAAGCATTTGTTTGCATACTGTTTTTTTTTAATTAACCAGATGTGATCTACTTCAACTATTTGTAAGTTTATTGAACTAGGTAAAGGTAAAGGGTTCCCTAACCAGTCATGGCTGGTTTTAAGGCACGGTACTCATTTTGATTTCTTGGCCAAGGGAGACAGCATTGTTGGAAGACAATTTCCATGGCCATGTAGAATAAAACTGCTCTTAAAATAACTGAGTTGGAAGGGACCTTGGAGGTCTTCTAGTCCAACCCCCAACTTAGGCAGGGAAACCCTATACCGTTTCAGACAAATGGTTATCCAACATATTCTTTAAAACTTCCAGCGTTGGCGCATTCGCAACTTCTGGAGGAAAGTTGTTCCACTGATTAATTGTTCTCACTGTTAGGAAGTTTTTCCTGAATTCCAGGTTGCTTCTCTCCTTGATTAGTTTCCATCCATTGCTTCTTATCCTACCTTCAGGTTGGAAAATAAGGTGACCCCCTCTTCTTTGTGGCAGCACTTCAGATATTGGAAGGCTGATATCATGTCACCCCTAGTCCTTCTTTTGTGGCCAACATGGCTCACAGAATTCTGAAACCTTCCCACCAAAAATGGTACCTATTTATCTATTCACATTTGCATATTTTTAAAGTGCTAGGTTGGCCGAAACTGGTGCAAGGAATGGGAGCTCATCTCATTGCACAGTGCTCAGGTCTCCAACCGGAGCTATCATTATTCCAGTGTCTTTAACTGCTGAGCCATCATACCCCCAAACTGATCTGAGGTGGTTTTATATAATTAGTGGTGGGTTTTTTGCCTCTACACTGAGAAGCAGAAATCCAAAACTAGTGGAAAAGAGAAGTACAGGGCATCAACTACAGTAGCAGGCTCACTGGTTCACAGTTCAGAAATGTTTTGCTTCTACACACACACACACACATGCAAGAAAGTGAATGGCAACTCTGGGTGACCTTGCCTGGGTAGGAAACAAGAGAAGGTTAGGTACTTCAGTAAGGGAACTCTAAAGTTTAAGCTGGACTAGGAAGTTAAAATAATGTCCCAGAAGTCAACAATGGTAAACCACTTCCACATCCTATCCCCCACAAAAAATCTGGAATCAAGTTCAACTTGACTTAACCTAAACACAATTAGAGAATATGGGTCTGCCTTATTGAAATAAGAGATCTAAAGTCTTTATGTATTGTGGAAGTAATAGACACTCCCATTTTTCAAAGAAGGAGATCACTTCAATCCTATCAAAATCAACGGGATCACAATGATGATCACACAAAGGCCGGTGGACATATACTCTGATCCAGGAAAAATCAACTGTCTTCTGAATGTCTATTTGGAAATAAGTCCCACAGCAGGGTGGATTTGATTTAAAGCAAGTAGATTTAAATCACTATTAAAAAGCTTGATTTAAATCAACTTGATTTAAATCATAATTTTAATTTAAAAATAATTTAAGAGCAACTGTTATCTCTGTCCCACAGCTCCACCTCCGACCAGCTGTTGATTCACCGACTGTCCCAATATTGCAGAATATACAGCCTCATCTACATAACTAAGCTCCATTTCATGCTGAATAAATTATTAATGTATCTTAAATAGAAAATCAGATAGATTTTTACTCCAAAAGCATTTTATTAAAATAAATTTGATTTTTTAAAAATCCAATTTAAATTTTTAAAAATCCATTTTTTATTATTATTATTTTAATTCACCTATTTTTATCCACCATGCCCCACAGTGTTTTCAGTAACAGTTACTCTCAGGTAAGGACATTTTGTGCTACATCCCTCCCTAGCTTTCAGTTTCATGGAAATTTACTAAACATGTTGATTAGAGTTATTCATTTAATGACTCAAGAATGGCATTCTGTTTTCATAAGCATAACTGTCCAGATCAGCACTAAGTGAACCAAAGTGCAAGACTCTCCTTAGTCCAATACTTTGTTTCTCACAGTGGCCAACTAGAAGTTTCTGGAATGCTCAAATCAGGAGAAGGAAATATACTGTGTCTTGCCTCTGTTTGCCAGCAGCTGCCACCTTGGAACATGATAACTCTAACCAAGAGCCAACACTATTTCTCAACACTAACAACTCTAGAAAGGCCTGGTTTACATGAACATATTTAATCCCAAGGGAGGCAATGGCTCAATGGCTAAAACACTGAGCTTGTCAATCAGAAAGGTTGGCAGTTCGGCAGTTTGAGTCCCTAGCACCGCGTAACGGAGTGAGTTCCCATTACTTGTCCCAGCTTCTGCGAACCTAGCAGTTCCAAAACATATAAAAATGTAAGTAGAAAAATAGGAACCACTTTGGTGGGAAGGTAACAGCGTTCTGTGCGCCTTTGGCGTTTAGTCATGCTGGCCACATGACCACGGAGACGTCTTCAGACAGCGCTGGCTCTTTGGCTTTGAAATGGAGATGAGCACTGCCCCCTAGAATCGGGAACGACTATAGCACATATGTGCAAAGGGGAGCCTTTACCTTTATCTTTTATTTAATACCAATATAAAACTATCCAAGTTAACCTCCATCACCGCACCTTATAATGAATGTAATACTTATTCATTAAGTTAGTGACTTATGTGCCACATAAATAAGCACTTCCTTTTTCTTCCCTGCAACTTTAAAGCTCCTTCCAGCCAGCTTCCTAGGAGCCTAGTCTTCAAAAACACTTGATCCCTAATCACTTTCTCCTTATCACAGGCATGATTTTATAAGATATTAATCATGTCCTCTTCTCAATCATCCTCTCAAAACGAAAGAGTCTCGGGCATTCCAGCCTTTTCCCATTGGAATGACTTCAACCCTTTCATCATTCTAGCTGAATTTTCTTGATCCTTCCCTATTTCTACTAGCTCCTTTTAAAAGTATTGCAAGGAGGAGGAGGAAGAAGAACAGGAGGAGGAAGGAAGGAAAGAAGGAAGGAGGAAGAGGAGGAAAAGAAGAAAAGGGAGGAGGAGGAAAAGGAGGAGGAGGAGGAGGAGGAGGAGGAGGAGGAGAAGAAGAAGAAGAAGAAGAAGAAGAAGAAGAAGAAGAAGAAGAAGAAGAAGAAGAAGAACAACAACAACAACAACAACAACAACAACAGGACAGTATTCCAGATATAAAATGCATCATAATAACCACCACTGAAGATGATGAAGCTTATAAATGAAGCATGCAAAGACTCAGCATCCCCAACATAAGCCAATCAATAGCACACTTAAACTCCAAATCCCAATGAAGTTGTTGACACCATTCTTGTTTATTTCCATGGGGCTTCTTCTCTATTTGGAAGGCCACCTCACATGAATTCTGCCCAGGAAATCTTTTCAGAACATTACAATTCCAGATTGATTGGATGAAACATGGAGAGAGGCTTGAAAGCTCAAAATGTTGGCCTCAACAGTTGTAGGTGATCTGTTTGGTTTTCTCTTTTCCTTTCCCTGTCATTTTTCAATAGGCATCTGAACAAGAGTTATCAACACAACACCTTTGTCAACCTAAATTTTGCTTGCTTTTCCAGCACTTCTGAAAACTTTCCACAATTACAGTCTCAGCTAGAGCTGATTACAGGCAGGAAAGAGAGATCTCCCTGAATGCTTCAATCTGAAGACTAATCAACCGAAGGAAGGTTTTATTCAAATCTTTATCTGGAATGAAAAAAAGGAACTGGGTCAGAATGAGGGAGAGGAGAAATGTATTAATTGAAGAAGTCAAGTGGAAAGTGAACTAAGTTCATTTAGTTTTACACCCGAAGGGCACTCAAATATTAAGGGAGAAGAGTCCCATACCATGTTTGAAATACTAGCTTGGATTGTTTTTGTATGTTTTGTATCTTTCAAGTATCTCTTTCATACATAGAAACTGTTGCAAATGGTAACATTTGCACTTCTCTTTTCCCTTCCAAATTATAGTCAGTTTTAATTCTATGCTGATCTGAGTGAACAAGAAGATCCTTATATGGAGTCTGTATTAATTGGGGAGGGGGGGAGTACTGCTGAGCGTATCAATGTATTTGTTGTGCTATTTGTTTATTATTCATTCATCCGTTGCAGGTTATAAATCTGTTGTGGGATAAAACAGATTAGACAGGGTAAAAGCTAGAACAAACTAATTGTGGATCCTATTATTTTATTAGAACCCGTATTTCTTTCTGTTTATGGATTTTCAGTAGGTGATGGACAAGACAGACGATTCCTTCACAATCATGTATTCTTCACCACCACCACCACCCCAACATTTCATTCGAAGGAAGCCTCCGTGTACGTCCTTACACAACTGCCATTTTACACAACTTCCCTTGGAATCTGGATTTTCAGAACCACAGTGTCCTCAAATTGGCATCAGCAAACAAGGAAGGGAAAGGAGTTGCTGAACAGATGGTTGTAAGGCTTCATTCAGGGACCCACCTACAGTCAGCTTAATTCCGATATACAAATTTGTTCCTTAATACAAAAAAAAATGCTTAAACTTTTTTCTAGTCAAAGAAGAACAGCATCTTATGGAGACATAGGAGAAAGAGATGAACCACAGCAGTTTTAGAAAAAGCTGAAAAATTAACAGCAAGAAGAAAAGTGGATTTTAGTTGGGATTAAGGTTGTAATTCTAAACACTACAAAGTCCTAGGATTTGGACTTTGGATGACATGGCACATTGAATCGTTCAAACGATCAACTCCCAAATATATGTGGAGATGACCCAAGCCTCTGACTCAGTCCAGCTTATTATTTCTGAGCAAACATTAGCCTGTCCAGAATCAGCAACATAGTTGCCCCTGTACCCATGTTTCCTTTACAAGTTGAACAGTGTTCAGTGCCACCCAAGGGAGAATATGGGATATATTTCACACCTCCAAGTTTCTCAGCTGTCTGCAAAAAAGTAAGCAAGCTTAGCCTTGCCGTTTGGTGACCCCACTTCCAAATGCTGCCCCATCCTTCTCCACTAGGGAGCCCAGAATTACTAAACACTCAATCCAACCTAGCTCATAGGGCAATACCCTGTGCATGCAGCCTGAGCTAAAACTGAAGAAAATATAAAAAACACTAAAAGCAACGCAGGAACTGGAAGACTGGCTTGGAAACCAAGCCACCTTAAAGGTCTAAAACTTCTCTCTACTTTTCTGTATAGTATGTTGCAATTAAAGGTTTACAGCAATTATGTTTTTTTTTTTAAAGAATTATCTGTAACATGCCTTTGTTTCCCTTGGAAGAATGTTACATTCTTAATAAATAGATTTCTGTGAACTAAACTGAACTACTTCTAAGATGCTTAAAAACTCTTCTATTTTTCTATAACAGGAAATGTTATAGAAAAATGTAAGTGTATAGGTGGCCCTTGATTTACAAGCACAATTGAGCCCAACATTTCTGTTGTTAAGTGAGACATTTGTTTAGGGAATTTTTCCCCATTTTGCGACCTTTCTTGCTGCAGTTGTTAAGTGAATTGCTGCAGTTATTCAGTTGGTAACAGGATTGTTAAGTGACTTTGGCTTCCCCATTGATTGTGCATGTCAGAAGGTCCCCAAAAGTGATCCCATGACCCCGGAACACTGCGACTGTCATAAATATGAACCATTTGACAAGCATCCAAATTTTGAACACCTGACCATGGGGATGCTGCAAAGGTTGTAAGTGTGAAAAATGGTCATAAGTCCATTCAGTGCCGCTGTAACTTTGAACAGCCACTAAATGAACTGTTGTAAATCAAGGACTACCTGTATTAGTTGGTTTAACTAATGGATATAAGTCCATTCGTAACTCTGATTGGTTATTCTCCAATATGTCCATGGAGATTCTCAGTCATCAAGGTCATGGTTCTCCCAAAGGTGCTACTTTCTGGTTTTTCCTTGAACTTTCCCTTCTCATCCAAGAAGCTTCCTCAGCTCTTCCCCACCATCCAGTCAGAAGAGCTGAAGAAGCTTCTTGGATGAGATGCGAAACGTCTTCAAAGAAAAACCAGAAAGTCCAGAAAGTGCCTCTTGGGGGGGGGGGTGTGGAAAAGTCCCTTTGGGACAACCATGACCTGAATGACTGAGAATCTCTACAGATTTTTAGCTATACAATTTGGGATGAACACCCTTTGAATGGGAGCAGGAATGGATTCCCAGAGGAAAAAATTGCAGACTACAGAAACCAGAAGTGCCACTTAGGTGACACTCAGGACACAGATAAACCTCCAAGGGCTTCAATGACCCTCTAAAAAGATAGGTATAAATATAAAAAAGGTATAAATCCTTCCATTCCCCACTATCCTGTCAAGAGCTGAAGACGCTTCTTGGATGAGGAGCCAAATGCCTCAAAATAAAAACAAAGAAGCCCAGTTGCCTCTTGAACAAAATAAAAATAAGCACCTCTGGGATGGATTATTCTCCAACAGTTTGTCCACAGAGGGGTCCTTCACCTCGCTCTCCATGCTTGCTTGTTTCCCTGCAAGAGATTTCCTTACCCAAACTAGGCAACACACCATCAGGGCTGGTCAGTGGCATCAGTAGCCTTGACAGCGTTACCTAGCTGGGTCACAAGAAGTCTGCCAGAGAACCAGCCAACTCAGAGAGCTGCAGAAAGACCCCCACCTCCTGTCAACCCCGAGCTTCCAAAATATACCCCCCCTCCGTTTAGCAGTTTTCAGGCGTAAAGGGTTTCCAGCAGCCCAAGATGCCGTTTCGCCGGCTCGGCAGGGCTGCGGGGGCTCTGTGCGTGTAGTGGTGTGTGGGGGGTCTTACCTTCTCTTTCCCCCTGCAGTGGCAGCAGACGGTCCACAGGTACTTGAGGGTCCTCCAGAGCAGGATGATAAAGAGACCCCCAAAGAAGGTGACCATGGAGGAAGCAAGGAAGGCCCACCACATGCGCTGCCCGCTGTCGCAAGAGACTTCCATGGTGAGGGGGATGATGAGAGCGTTGGACGCCCGGGCGGGCGCCGACGACGAGGCCGTGTTCAGGGGGCCGCCGACGGGGCTGCTCATCCTAATGTTGCCGCTGCCGCCGCCGCCACCGCCCGAGTAGTAGCTGCTGGAGCCGCCGCCGCCTCCGCCGCCGCCGCCGCTGCCATTTGCCATGGCTAGCACCGAGCAGGGCGCGCCGCCGGCGCTCCGGGAAGCTGCTCTAGCCGACGCCGAGACCGATGCCGTCGCCGGCTCCGGCCACGAAGCCCATCCCCGGCCATGATGCCGCTCAGCCCAATGAAACCGCCGCCGCCGGGGCGTCCTGCCTTCTCCCTCTCTGCCCCCCTCCCCTCCCCGCGCGCGGCCCCTCCCACCCGAATGAAGCGGGGAGGGGCCAAAAAAAAAAAGCGCGCCCGCCGCCTCAGCCGGCCCGCATATCTCCCCCGCTTTCCCGTCAGTCAGTCCGTCCGTCCGTCCGTTAGTGGGCGAGGAGGGCGAACTTGGCTGCTGGCTCAAAGGCAGCCTCCTCCAAAGCTGCCGCCTCTGAGGGAGCACCCGCGCTTCTCCCCGCCGAGCCGCTCCCCGGCTTTGCTGCGCCTCGGCTCGGCTTTCCTGACGGAGGCGGCTGAGAAGACGCGCGGCTGACAGGGGAGGGGGGAGGGTCCGTCCCAGCCGCACGCGCGCGTCGCCGGCTTTCGCAGGTGGCCCCAGGCGGCAGGAGGAGGAGGAGGAGGAAGAAGAAGCAGCAGCAGCAGCAGCAGCGAAAAGCCGGCTAGGTCCGTCCTCTGGGCGGAGGAAAGCTGGCGGGGGGAGCTGCTCCGAACGCGGCTCGCGGCCGCTTGCGCGTCTTGCCCGCCTGACTAGGCTCCGTGGGGGGTTGGGGGGAGCGGCGGGCCAAGGCGGGGGCCGCGCAGCAAGCAAGTGGGAGGGCTCAGAACCCCGCGCGGGTCTGCCGGTTGGCGGACGGCGTGACGCACTGGCTGCCAGTCACTCCTAGCGCGCGCGTGTGTGTCTGTGTGTGTTTATATGTGCGTGTGTCGTGTCCCCCCCCCCCATCCCTGCCGCCGCCGCCGCGAATCGGTTTCGGGTCCGGCTCCAGCGGTGTTTTTCGCAGCGTCCCTGTTGCGCTCGGCGGCGCTCGGTGACTTGCATGCCTAATCAGAGGGCCCGAGGTCCGGCGGGGTGGAGGGGAAGGGGAGCCAGCGGCTTGTGCCCACGCGGCCACTCGCGCCCGCAGCCTCGCCTTTTGCTGTTCTTTGTCAGCCTCTTCCCTCCTCCCCTCGGGGTCGGGGCGGAGAGCCCAGGGACACGGCGATAAACAGACGCGGGCCGAGCGCTGGGTCGTTTTTGCGCTCGGCTGAGCCTTCTCTTTCCTTCTCCACTATTCTTCCTTCTCCTACTGCTCTGCCTCCTCTTCTTCCTCCTCCTCCTTCGTCTTCTTCCCCCTCTTACTACTACTACTATTGCTACTACTCTTCCTCCTCCTGCTCTTCCTCTTCTTCTCCTCTTCCTCCTCTTCCCCCTCCTCCTCGTTCTGACCCATCTTGAAGTCTCCACGCAGAGCCCACGGTCGTGTTTGTTGTTGTTGTTGTTCCGGGCAAAAGAGAGCGAGAGCAAAAACGAGCCAGCGATTGGCAGCGCTGAGTTGCAGAAACAGGTGCTTCGCGGGCCGCGGAGGAAAAGGCAGGCGGCAGGCAGGACTGGCGGCGGTGCTTTTTTCCTTTTCCAGCGGATCATCGCCCACCAGGAAACGGTTCGGATGAGTGGGTCGCCTGGCTCCAGAATTGGCACCGAATTGGAAGAAAGCGGAGAGGCGGGGGGGTGGGAAAGAATCCCTTAATCCTCTCCCTGGCGCTGATTGTGAATGGAACAGAAAGGCGGGGGGGGGGGAGAGGAAGAGAAAGCAGATGAAAGCGCCTGGGAGTTTCAGCCCCATAATTTAGGGAAGCCCACATTTATCCCGAGATAAATTTGCTCCAGCACCAAAAGAGGCGGCTGGATGTCAAAAGTCGGCGCAGAATCTCCTTGTCGGGTTTTTTTTTTCCCAGCTCGTCCTGTTTTTTTTTCCCCCAAGCTTAATCCCCGACACAAGGAAAACCCCAGTTGTGCTGTCTGTCGCCACCGTTTCTGAAAGTTTTTCATTAAATAAAAATCCAACAGCTGGAAATAAAAAAAACAAAAGAAGAATTTTAGAAATTATTTATTTAGAATTTATTTTAGTTTGTCAAGCATGTATGAGAAAACAAGTATAAGTATGAATATAACATAAACGTATAAGCAGGTATACGTATATACATAAAAAATGAGTACGGAAAAAGGGGGGACTAGGTGCTGTGCTTATGCATGCCCCCTTTACAGATCTCTTAGGAATGGAGCAAGGTCAACGGTAGACAGGTTAACGTTAGGGGGGTTTGAGGATGTAACAACAGTCAGGTAGTGCATTCCAAGTATTGACCAGTCTGTTGCTGAAAGACCCCATTCACACTCACACCATATCCACAAGCAACTCCAAAAACCTTCAAACCCAGAAATTCAGTCCTATGGATGAGCCTAATCCAGTTTTCCAGCATCGTTTCTTAATTTTGGTTAAGCTTCTTTGGGGTGAAACAGGCAACATTTACTCGAGGACTGCTGAGCACAAGGCTTGGTTGACTTTGTAGTTGTGAGCAGGAAGGGAAGGGCAGCTGGAGGGGACATCTGGAGGGCAACATCTGCCTCATTTTGCCAGGAAAAGGACAGGGATGAGGACATGTTTTATGAAATCACTCAGTCAAGCTTGGCTCTGAAATCATTCCCGGGAAGACTGAAAAACAGCAAAGGGAGGCAAGCAGCTTGTGAAAGAATAGCACAGCATAGCAGTGAATTATAGAGTAGCATAGCATAGCATTATAGAATAGAGTTGCATAGCATAGTGTCCCTCTCTTAGTGATTGACCCAAGGTCGCCAAGTTGGCTTTTATGGCTAAAGTGAGACTAGAACTCACCATTTCCCATGTTCTAATCTGGTGTGTGTGTGTGTGTACACACCCATATGTTGGAATCTTATTGGTATTTAAAACATTGTTAGGATATCTATCTATCTATCTATCTATCTATCTATCTATCTATCTCTATCTCTCTATCTCCTAACAATGTTTTAAATACCCATAAGATCCCAACTAATTAACCACTACCCAACCCTGAGACAAGGAGAACCAGTCAAACAGTTCAGGATTTCTGTAATGGTCTCCATTCATTGTCCCAGTTAATGGCCTACTTTATTAGAAGCAAGAGTCAATAAAAGAGGAATGCAGGGAGATAAAGTATGAACTAATAACTTATCAGCAAAATTGGTTCTCTCTACAATAGCTACTTTCAGCTCTAAATTGCAGCAGTTAGCCACTGAGCAAGAAAATATGGCTTTATAGTTTAATATATGTATTGGGCTTTCAGTTTAAGCTATCCCTCAATTGTACTTTGGCATTTTAATAATCCTAGCCCCATTTAATAACGATTACACTCAATGTGGTCATGAGATACTGGATAATAGGAGACATCCCTACTTAAATCTGAGGGGGGGGGGGAACTGGAGGTAAATAATATACCTATAGTTTATTATTTATACTATATTAGGGACGCGGTGGCTCAGTGTCTAAGATGCTGAGCTTGTTGATCAGAAAGGTTGGCAGTTTGGCAGTTCAAATCCCTAGTGCCATGTAATGGAGTGAGCTCCCGTTACTTGTCCCAGCTTCTGCCAAACTAGCAGTTCGAAAGCATGTAAAAATGCAAGTAGAAAACTAGGAATCACCTTTGGTGAAAAGGTAACAGCATTTCTTGCGCCTTGGGTGTTTAGTCATGCCAGCCCAGGAGTGGGTTGCTGCCGGCATTACTGCCGGTTTGGTGCTTGTGCATGCACCTGACGCGTGCTCTATGCACATGTGCAGTTGCCTGTAAATAGGTCTGTGCATGTGCAGAACATTAAAAATGCCCAAAAACCATGCCGCGGCGGGGAACCGGTTCAGAGGTGTGGTGAGCCTGCCATCCCTACTGATTGCAATTTCCACTACTGGTTCACCCTGGCAACCCACTTCTTTGCTGGCCACATGACCACACAGAGAAGTCTTCCGACAGCACTAGCTCTTCAACTTTGAAATGGAGATGAGCACTGCCCCTAGAGTCGGGAACGACTAGCACATATGTGTGAGGGGTACCTTTATCTTTAGTATATTATTATACTATAATATTCTCTAAGAATCTTTACTGCCACAAGATTTTTTTAAAAATTGTAAAAGTTTTAGAATATTGAGAATGCATTTGATGAAGAGGTAGCAGAATGTTATATATAGTAGGAACAGTTTCCTGGGGTGTTTACTCTTCCTTTTGGCTGGCATAATGTTACTCAAACAGATTGTAAGTTACTCATAGGTTGTAAATTGCTTTAAATGAGAGCAGCACAGAGATTTTAGGTTTTTTTTAAAAAAAAAATGGAAAATAGATGCACCATAAAAGAACCATGTTGCTTGGTGCCAGCAATTTAGTACTGGCAGATAGACAAAATATGGCATTGAAGAACTTCAGAAAGATAGCTTCAAAGTGGGGGGAAAATAAGCAAGATAAATAGAATGGAAATATTTTTTTTTTAATGGTCATTACGGTTGTTGGTGGGAATGGAATAATTGGTGCTATTGGGGCACAATATTCCTAACTAGCTTGTTGATCATAAAGGTTGGCAGTTCTGCGGTTTGAATTCCTAGTGCCGCATAACGGGGTGAGCTCCCGTTACTTGTCCCAGCTTCTGCCAACCTAGAAGTTCAAAAGCATGTAAAAAATGCAAGTATTAAAATAGGGACCACCTTTGGTGGGACGGTAACAGTGCTCTGTGCATCTTCGGCATTTAGTTATGCCAGCCACATGACCACAGAGACGTCTTCAGACAGCTCTGGCTCTTCGGCTTTGAAATGGAGATGAGCACTGCCCCCTAGAGTTGTGACAAGCACATACGTGCGAGTGGAAACTGCGTTTACCTTTATAATCCTAACTGGACCTTTGTTTATGCTGTTAGTGCCTGAACTAAGAAGAACTGTCCAGGAAAATATCAAGAAGCAGAGAGAAGGAAGCAGACCCTGCCTTGATTGTGCAACAAACTGGGCCTAAAAACCTGAAACTGACTGTTTAGAACTTGGGAAATCAAGATCTCAAGCCATGCGATCCTGTCCATCAATAAACCATCTTTCCAAGCAACTTCCATGAATCCGGTATCTTTTTCCCCACTTGGAATTGAA